ATTTGATTTAAAACCTAAGCAAGATTTCATTGAATATCCATACAAATTTCATGAAAATAAAATAAATGCAATTTCATTAGAAATTTCAAAATTTTTAGAAAAGGGTATTATTGAAAAATGTAATCATGTTGAGGGTGAATATATTTCAAATATTTTTACCAGAGATAAGAAAAATGGAAAGCTTAGAATTATTTTAGACCTCAAGGATTTAAATGAAAATATAACATACCATCATTTTAAGATGGAAACTCTTGAAATAGCTCTTAATCTTATTTCAAAAAATTGCTATATGGCCTCAATAGATTTTAAGGAAGCTTATTTTTCGGTTAATGTAGCTATATCAGACAGAAAATATTTGAGATTTATTTGGGATGCTCAATTGTTTCAGTTTACCTGCTTACCAAATGGACTTTCCTTTTTCTAATCTTCGGGCAAAAGGACATATAAATTCGGCATTCATTGATGATAGTTTACTTCTTGGATTCAGTCTTTCTGCTTGTCAGCAAAATGTCATAGACACAGTTAATTTGGCGATTTCTGCTGGGTTTACTATCAATTATGATAAGTCAGTATTTAAACCAGTACAGGTTATTCAATATTTAGGTTTTATCATTAATTCAAAACAAATGACTGTAAAATTAACTCAAGAAAAGACTGTTAAGATACTATCAAACTGTACTTCTATAATAAGTAAAAAACAGGTTACAATTAGAGAGTTTGCAGCTGTAATTGGTCTGCTTGTATCAGCTTTTCCTGGGGTACCCTATGGCAAATTATGCTATAAAAGGTGTGATAACTTTAAATCTAGTGCTTTAAAATCAAAATTTGGGAATTTCGATGCTAAAATAATACTTCCAGATTATTGTATTGAGGATCTAAATTGGTGGATTAATCATATTAAGTGTCAAGAAAAATCTCTAATCATTAAAAATAATGAATTTACTTTACAATCTGATGTTTCTAAAACTGGATATGTCATTGTTTTCAATGGACATGAAACTAAAGGGTTTTGGAATGACCTAGAATCTAACAAACATATTAATGAACTTGAATTGCTTGCAGCAAAATTTGGAGTTTTTACATTTATGAAAGAATTTTAAAATGTCAATATTTTACTTCAAATTGATAACACCACAGCTGTTAGTTACATAAATTTTCAGGGTGGTAGAATTAATCATTTAAATGATATTGTCAGAGACATATGTACTGCTGTTTTGTATTGATCGGAATATTGAAATATCAGCTTCTTATTTACCAGGTATTTTAAATGTGGATGCAGATAGATTAAGTCGTGACGATCCAAATAAAGATAATTTAGAATGGGAATTAGATTCTGACATGTTTAATATGATATGTTGCAATTGGGGTACACCAGAGGTTGATTTATTTGCCTCACATATAAATTATAAATTGTCTAGATATTTTTCTTTTAAACCTGATCCATTTGCAGAAAAAATTGATGCTTTTACGGTGTCATGGAAAAGCATTTCTTTTTATGCATTTCCTCCTTTTGCTGTGATTGGCCGTGTTCTTAAGAAAGTTGAGACAGACCGTGCCACAGAAATATTTATTGTGCCATGGTGGAACACACAAGCATGGTTTAGTAAAATGATCCACATGCCAATTGATTACCCTTTTATTTTACCTAGGGTAGAGAAAAGACTTCATCATCATGCCAAAAATCCAAGGACAGATTTGCCAAAGATGTGTTTGTTAGCAGTGAGGATAACAGGATTTTCTTCTCAAAGTACAATATTTCACAGCAAACTAAAGACATTCTCCAATCATCATGGAGAAAATCAACAATGGTTCAATACAGATCGTATATCGACAAATGGTTTAGGTACTGTAATAAATGGAAAGTGGATGCCTTTCAACCATCTGTAGAAAATATTCTGGAATTCCTAACCTATCTTTTTAAGTCTGGATTGAAATACAGTGCAATTAACACAGCCCGAAGTGCATTGTCTTCATTTATTACAATTAACAATCAACCTGTGGGTTCTTTGCCTATCGTGACAAGATTTTTAAAAGGTGTTTTTAATATTAGACCTGCTTTACCAAGAAATAAGTGTTCATGGGATGTAAATATTGTTCTATCGTACTTAAAAAAAGTTGTCTCCTGTGAAGAAAATCTCGTTAAAACTTCTGACTTTTAAATTAATTATGTTATTTAGTTTGTTATCAGCAAGTCGAATTCAGACTTTGCAGTTATTGGATATAAGAAATATCCGAATGGGAAAAGGTTCAGTTCAGTTTATAATTGGTGATAAATTAAAGCAAACTAGACCCGGATTTCATCAAGAACCTATCAGAATAAAAGCTTATGTTCCTGATAGACGTTTGTGTTTAATGACAGTGTTAAAAGAATATATGGATAGAACAAAAGATATTCGTTCATCTAATCAATTATTTTTAAGCTTCATAAAGCCTTACAAACCAGTTGGCAGGGAAACCATTTCCAGGTGGATTAAGACAGTTTTAAAATCAGCTGGAATTGATATAAAACGATTTGTTCCTTATAGTGTTCGATCAGCAGCATCGAGTGCTGCACTAAGAGCATGTGTTCCTATTCAATCAATAATTAAAACTGCAGGTTGGTCAAGAGATACCACATTCAGAAAATATTATAAAAAAAATTTGTCTGCAGAAGGAATTTTTAGTGCAAAAATTCTGGAAAATTTACATACCGATAATGACTGATTACAAAACTTTAAGCTTGTTTATTCCTTAGATTAAAGATCTAAGATCTGATATAAAATAATTACTACTATGGTTTAATGTGTTTAATAATAAATGCTTAAAAAATTTACAACTGTCTGTGTTTGATTACAACTTTGAAGTCTCATGTAGCCTCTAACCCACAGTCAATCAACATAGCAGAATTTAAAAATTAAACGAAACTTACCTGGAAGTTGAAGTTTGATTGTAATTCTGCTATGTTGTTGACGGGGTTAGAGGTAACATGCCCTCCCTGTTGGGTCACTCCTTAGGCTTGTGCTAGAGTAAAATGTTCCCTAACTTCCCTGTCCCCCTTTTTTCTACATTGTATTATGTTTGGAATCAAACACACTTTAAAGAATGATCAGTTAGCTGCGCGCGCATCTCATGTTACCTCTAACCCCGTCAACAACATAGCAGAATTACAATCAAACTTCAACTTCCAGGTAAGTTTCGTTTAATTTTTAAATTCTACACTAGACGACACATTGAAGAGTCAAAGATTGCGAAGCGAAATTTTACACAGTTTTGGTGCTGCGGCTCGTAATTTTTTTGAAGAGGTATGTATTTTATAATATCTTCTTAATTTATATACACTGAATTAATTAATAAAAAACCTATTAGTCAGTATAAAACGCGATCTAAATAGACCGATGAGCGTCAAAACGGTACTAGTTCTAAGCGGCCTTGTCAAGCGTGTTTTGTCACGTGACGCACTGTCAATAGTTTTATTGAGCAGCCCGCTATTCTTCCGAGTTTTAGATACAAAACGCAATTTATACCCATCATGAAATACATCATTAAAACGTCAATTAAATTATCTATAAGTAGAAATTGGTAAAGTTTTATAAAATTGTTGATGGTTGTAGAACGAACGAGTTGAAGATGTATTTACGGCAAAAGAAATAACACCGATTCGATAACGTCAAATACGTTGTTGTTACGTATAATGTTGTTATTGAACTTATTGTTTGTTTACATATTATTCGCTTTCATTTTCTGCAAATATTTGTAACTGTAACCAATATTGTAACTTAAGTAAAACATTGATGATCATGGAAGAAGGAATTTTAAAAAATTATATTATCAAAAACTTGCAAATGTAGTTTATTATGTACGCGACCTTAGGCATACCTTATAAAAATAATTTTAAAATTTTTTCTCACGAACTAGGCCTAACCTTCATTTAACAGAAAATTATCTTACTAGTTAGATAATAAATTCTACTAAAAAATATAATTATTTAACTAAGTTAATCAATATTTTTCCTTTACACAGATGGTGAAATTAAAAAGGAAAAAACCCAAAGATTACATAGGAAGTTTTGCTGATGCTGTTGGCATTACTTTAATAAATTTAAAAAGTTGTGAGTTTCCTGCAGTTCCTGATCTAATTAATGGTGTGGTTTTAGACCTGTATAGAGAGGTTTGTGAGAAGGAAAGGATAAACAGTCATACAACTTACAACTTTGGACAGGTTGGAGAAAAAAGTTAGCCAACATACTCGACAATGTACACCCAAGTGAAATTCAGAAGTTTATTGAAGATCTGCACAGTAAGCGAGACAATTTGAGACGTAGACGAAAAGATGCAGAAAGGATCCACTTAGATAACTCTAAATTTTGTTTCTCTTCATTAAATTAGGTAACTTACGATATTAATGGTACTGGTGCAGAGGAAACTACTTTTTCTATAGTCAATAACTTGATAGTGAAATTACAAAAAAGAAGAAATACATATCAAAACTTAACAACAAATCTGCAAAATTGAAGAAATCTTTTATCTACCTAAAAATCAAGTATAGACCAAGAAATGTAAATGACCGGGAAGAAAGAAAAAATGACAAACTCAAGAAACTCAAAAAACAAGTATTGAATTTACAAAAAGAAATAAGATCTTTACAAGTAAATAACAGAAAATTACAAACCAAATGCGTATTTTGGAAGAGAAAATACAAAAGAGTTCTATCAAACGAAAGTCAAGAGAAGAGGTTAAACAAGCTCGAACAAGAAATCACATCAATCAACACCCGTTATGCTTTGGAGGAGAGTGAAGTACATGTACCTCCATGTACGTTGACTGAACAGGGGATATTTTCAGATGATTCCCGACGATGCATTCTTGAGCTTTTGTCGTACGAAGTGGCTACAGATAAAATTCCCGGAGTTATTGAAAGTGTCCTGAAACATATTGTCCACACACCAATAGAAAAAAGTAATTTACCTCAAAGACAAACTGTTCTTAATGTTTCTGATGAAGGCCAGTACTTGGTGAAAAAGATGTATGCTGATTTAATAAATTCATCTGAACATTTTGGTATTCACAAAGATGGAACATCGAGAAAAAAAAAAGATTTTGGGAAACTCACTTACACTGTCAAATTCAGATGTGCTGCCCCTTGGCTTTCGACATGTTGCCACTGAAACTGCTCAAATTATAACAAGCACCACTCAAACAGAATTATCGGAAGTTGCATCATGTGGACAGACTGTTGTGACAGATATTGTAAGAAAGCTCTCTTATGTTATGTCTGACAGGGCAGCCAATGAAAAGTTGTCTAATCACCAAATTACAGAGTGGAAAGATGACTTGTTAAAAGAGTATGATGGTGAGGAAGACAGGAGTACAATCTACTCATTTTATTGTATGGTTCATGTTCTTCTGGGCTACCATTCCTATGCAGTGAAACATCTAAACCGTATTCAGAAAGAATTAGAAGATAAGGGAATTAAACTTGGAAGAGACCAGACAGTTTTATACAGACGAGAAATCGCAGGAGTGCGGACTGTTCGATTTATTTCTGATTTATTGGGGCCTGTTCCTGATGAGAAGAATGATTTAAGAGAACGATGGTTAGCATACTGTAGAATCCACAACATCAAGTCTTTAATTGGAAGTTATAAAGACAACAGATTTAATTGTCTCTTTGAAACATCTGCCCAAGTGCTATTCCACAGGAAAGACATACTTAACTTCTTTAGTGATCTTCAAACTACAAACTTGAAGGTAAAGTCGGCAAATCTCGATCTGTTGGATGGTAAAATAGTTGCTATAATAACTTCGTTGGCTTCAGTTTATTTCAAGATCAGTGGTCCATACTGGGATGCTATGACTAGTGGACACTGCAACTACCTCTCATTACATGAGTATGTTCAACCAATGTACCAGAAAATAATGTTATGGGTGAAAGATCCACTGAGCATCTTGAATGTAAATGATGATCCTTTGTTTGAAGATTTTCCTGACAAAAGTCTGTCATGTTCCTGACATCAATGCAACAGCCATCCGAAATAGAATTTTTCCTTAAGTGTACAAGTGGTATTTGTGAAGGTATGCTTGAATGTTGCAACAACCAGCTTTCAGATTTTCTATCTGGTGGTATGAGTAGACCTGTCGAGAAGAAAAAGGAACAGTTAGTATCGGGAGCACCGCTGCATAATTTGATTTGTGAAAGGCACTTTGGAATGCTGGATGCCAGCCAATCAAGACGCAGAAATGCAACTTTCCACTACCACACAAGTTTATTACTGCTTAAATCAAACAGTAAGCGTCTGAGTGACTGGCTAGATAAGAAGACTGCTGATGAAAGAAGGGCGCTCTTCAGAGAAGCAAGATGCGAGGGTTTGAAGCTTTGTAAAACTCATAAAAAAGTTGAAACTACTACAAACACAGAGATGGAACAAAATCTTATTAAAGAAGCTGCGAAACAGAAACGAAAAAGGCCAACAATTTCAAAAGACTGCAAGAAGCCATTTGAAAATGATGATGATGAAAGTGACAACTATGAAAAAGATGAATACAGCAGGGGCGTGCTGGCCCCGATGGGGCCCGTCGGTCGCCGAAGGCGCGCCGCTGATAGGGGGGTCTGGGTGGGTTCTCCCCCCGGACAATTTTTGAAATTTGACAACGGGAAACGCGTTTTGCAAGCACTTCTGGGAGAAATCTAGGTATCATATTTTCCAAATTTATGCTGCTATTTTGACGATAAGACATACTACTGTACTACACAAGACACTCATGACAGGTCTGCTTAATATAATGCTAATACAATTTATTTCTATCCAAATAATAAATTTCATCTTATACATATGGAGGCATGAAAACATGTATCAAAGACCATTTCACCTTAAGGTGACAGACATTTGCACGTCAGCATATGTTTTACTAATCGTTGTGTATGTATGATTTTTCGCGTGCGAACTCTCAATTTTTTGAGGGGATTCCGCGTGAAAATTAGAGCTCTCGGGGGGGGGGGGGGCTCTTATACGGGTGGACTTATTGTTTAATGGGGGCTTGGGAGGACACCGTCCTCCTAAACTCCCTGCCAGCACGCCCCTGGAATACAGTAATGATATACTTGCTGATGGAGACAACATAGATAGCGATGATTGGATTGCTGTGGCTTTCGACAATGGATGGTTCCCAGGTACGAACTTTTAACATTTGCTTTTCTTGTTTTACTATAATGGCATTAAGTTAAGACAAGAGTAAAGATCAAAGAGAGGGATAGAAATGGGGTTTAATTTCCAATCGACACTAACTAGGGCATTTCGGGACTAACATGGTTCAATTTTATTTCAATAACTTGCTTGCGTTTAGGGGTTATGTAGAAGCGGGGATTCAATCAATACCATGCCCTTACAATTTCATGTGCACCTGTGAACCTTTCGCCCCCCCCCCCCCAATACAGACAAAGCTGCACGCATTCATAGGAATATATCTGAATTCACTTACGTTTGAAAAATTTATTATCTTATATCTTTTTAGGAATGGTAACCAGTGTCTGCCATGAGAATGTAATAGTTGACTTTCTTCAACCAACATCACTGCCATGCCAGTTTAAAAGACCAACACCCAAAGATGAAGTTGAAATAAAAAGAATTTATGTTTTTGCTGGACCGCTTCTTCCTCCAGTACCAACAAGTGGTGGTCGACTGTTTTCACTTCCTCAAACTGAAGCTGTTGAATTATCATACACAAAGTTCAAAGCAAAGTAAGTAATTTATTTTATTACTAAAAACAAAACGTAAATTTTAAATATCTGTATTAAAAACTAAATAGCAAAAGAGGATCTTTAGGTGGTGAACTGAAAGATAAAGAAAAGTACATAGTAAATTCAAAACATGTTACATATAAATTATTTTATTGAAATATTATTAAGAAAAGTGCATAGTATTTAGTATTAGTAAATTTCAAAAAAATGTTACATATAAATTATTTTCTTGTTTTTCATTTTCAGGCACTGGTGAAGTTGAAAGGTCTGTCAACTCCTTGTTATTTTACTCCAGAAATGTATATAGCCTAATTTATTTCATTATATTTTGAGTGATCCTGTCTGATGAATATTTTAGAAACTTATAATAAGACTGGTCAGTTTCACATATTATATAATTTAAATACAACATACCTGGTTGAATAGTGCTTCTGTAGAGCTTTAATTTGATATGCAACATGAAATAGTTCCCTTCAAGTTTCAAAATTTGTTGTTGTGCCACGCCCCCCCCCCCCCCCCCCCGTGCGACACATCATTTATGAAATAAGCTTTTAAAGATAATAAAAAATGTCAATTTCAGTTATTTTTGACATGTAAACCCTTATTGATCTCTTTCGGATGATGTTTTGATCAATAAATATGTATTTTTATGACTGCCAATCATCCAGATTATGTTATCTTAAAAACAAAGATGGGTGCCACGCCCCTTTTTGCAAATTGATTTATCAGAAATCAGGAATATGAATATTTTATAATTAATTTTACTTCAGGAACCTTAGTTATCCATTTAATATCAATTTTATTGAAAAATAAAACATTTGTACAGTGCTTTATTTATTAAATGTTTGTTATTAATGTTAATTAAGGGATCACCGAAGTCAATATTTCTTACTTTAGCCACGCCCCTTTTTACACGTCCGTATATGGAATCTCTAATTAAAAAAAAATTGAATTTTTCAGAAAATTTTACCTAGGTAGCATATTTTCATCACCAATGGTCAAAATCTAGACACACAATATTAGATTTAAACTATGGACCAAATTTCAACAAAAACACACGGAAAATTACGTGTTTTCCCTTCTTTAATTACAGTATCATTTTTGTACAAAATATCAAAATCTGACATCTTAATATTATCAAAACTTTTTAAATAATTTTTCAATTTACATAATTCAAAAAGAATTGAGATCCTTGAAGCAGCCCCTAAATAAATACATACATTAAAATGCTGTTAATCAAAGTTGAAATTTTGATGTGGTAATGCTAATTTTAATGAAAAATTGAACATGTAAATTTGTTTAACAGACCAAATAATGTTTAGTAGTTAATTTAAGATTAAAATTAAATAAGATAGGTGTTTAAAATTCAACTGTACAGGGAATAAAATATATTCATTATCACTATTAATAGGTTTATAAATAATGTGATATGACTAGCTAGGTATGTTTAAATGTAGACAATTTGGGGGATTATTGCAAAATCAGTAAATACGAGTTTAATTGGAGGTTAAGGTGAGAATAAGACACCTTTGCGAAAGGTGGATAAAGATATACGGTAGATATTATCCGTATATAATTTATGTCATTTTGTGTAATTAAATTTTGCTTTAAAAACGTAATATTATAAACATTAAATATATATTTGCTAAATGTTATTGTTTCCGCGTATGTTGTTAAAATATGTAACTGAAAGCTAAGTCTATGTTAATATAAATATATACTATGTTCTGAGTGAATGAACTGCAGTCATTTGATTGGGAAATAGTTCTAAATATAATATAATATAATATAATATAATATAATATAATATAATATAATATAATATAATGTGAGAGCTCCGCTTGTGTCAAGTTCATTCTGATATGAAATGTTTATAAAAACGAAATACAAAATTGTAAATGATTATAGGTCAAAGGGTCAGATTAATTTTTTTGGCATAATTATAAAACAAAAAAGGAAATTATAAATTGTAGATTACTGAATTAAAGTCAAGAGATGAAGGTTAGTTTATAGATTTATAACTTTAAAAAAAATACTGTTTTAGAATTCTGATGATTAAAGAGACAATCAAAGTTTATTAACAATTAAATGAACGTTTAATTTTAATTAAGAGTAAGAGTAAATAATAAGTTCTAGGAATAATAATGTTAGACTACTATTTTTAAATTTACAGTTTTGAATTTGGAATATTTAGTTCTTGGTCTGATGGCAATGACATGTTTTGATTTGACCGATAAAATGTCTAACCAGTCATCAAAAGAAGTGCTGATTGGAAATTCTCACAAGCCGGGACCTGGTGATTAACTTAGAGAATCCTTACTAATAAGAAAAAGAAAGTTTCATTATCGAGACTTTGGTAGCTGAAACAGAGCAATCGAAATCCAAGATGATGAATTGCACAATTTAAAGTGGAAACTGAACTTTATAAATTAAAAGTGCAAACTGAACTTTATAAATAGAAAGTGCAGTGTTCTAGTGTTTAGGGATGAGAGAGAGAGAGAGAGAGAGAGAGAGGGGGGGGGGTGTTAACGTCCATTCGACACAAACTAGGTCATTTCGGGACTAACATATGGTTCAATTTTATTTCAATAGTTCGCTTGCGCGTAGCGGTCTTTAGCAGTGGGGGGGGGGGGGAAACAGGTACAACCGGGGAATCGAAACTACGCCAGTTGACTCAATAACAGACCTTATGATACAGCGCACGCGTGCTAACCATTCGGCCATCCATCCAGCCCCCCCCCCCCGACTTTGAAGGGAAGTGATGCGTTTATTTGTTTTTTTCTTTGATACTTTTATTCTTGAAACAGATTGAAGCGGATTGTTGATCATATGTAATCTTGTATGTTAATCGTATAGTAATCGTATATATTTATGTGCATGTTGCATGAATAATCATATAATAATATGGTTTAGTAAATGGAAGTTTTTAAGGGTCTCCTACCTGATAATCTCTTACAAGGGGAGGTAATGAAAGAATATCGAAGGCGAGATTTGTGCTACATGCATGAATACTTATATAATCCTATAGATGTTGATATGGTCGCTGTAAAGGTTTCAAGGGATCTTTTACTTTATACTAAGCAAAAATTCTTAAGAAAGGGAGGAATGTAAGACTATTGTAGATTTTTTGCGCTTTACGTTAATAGCATTATATTAACTATGGCGCGTTAAGGGTAGGGGAGAAAGACATGTTAATTTTAAGTATTGTAATGTAACCTATGCTTGTAATCTATGTATCCAGGCTTGACATAAAAATGTAGAAACGAATTGATGCATTGTTATTTCTGGAAGATGAACGTCTTAACAGCTGAGATGAAGAAAATACACAACGTGAAAAAGGGTCCTTGACATAAGAAACAAATATAACCAGAGACAATACTAGACGATCACAAGGCTATTAATATATGTAGCAGAGAAGAGAATATGCGTCACACGTAGGATGTTGGGAATTTTTGCTACTGTTGTCTTTCCACATCTAACCAGCGGTGCATAGCACGCATATCGCTACAAATTATATTTCTTCCATCTGGGCTATTCCCTGATAATTCTGAACTAGTTCAAATTATTTAAGCCTTTATTCTTAATATTCCTGAAACCTTTTAACTGTTCTTTATTTCAAAATAATGCTTTTGTTTTTTTCATTCTTAGCTATACACAATCCATGATCATTGTTAAGACAACTGGCCAGACATGTATGTAATTATGTTAAATGAATGATTTTATTAGAATTACACTTGCCAAAACAGTGACCTGGTTATTATCCTTGTAATCTCCCTTGATATGAACGCATTTTTGCAGTGCGATCGACCAGTCCAATATACTTATTGAGTGTTTAAAAAGACCTGATCGAATGCCATATGCTTGGGCACACTATTTCTGATTCTCTGCTCGACTGGGGCGTTTATTTGGCGCATTGAATCTCTGGTCGTCCCGACAGCGACCAATTTGCAAGGTAAATCGTGCACATGGCTTTGTTTACAAATGTTATGTCCCGGCACTTGACCCGGGGCTGTGACATATTCAATTTTATCGAGTGCATACATATTTTATACTGAACAATGTACATGCCATAGCCATAACATAGCCGGGTGTTACTTAGATGGAGAAACATTAAATCAGTAATATATTAAATAAATAAAACGGTACTTATAAATGATCATCTTCACCCTTGAACCCCTCACAGAATAACTGGTCAGGGTCATCTAATAGCGATCATTCAGCAAACAAAGCTTTTTAATCACTCCATTTGTCTATATATGTCTCATAATTCCAATTCATTTTGTATTTGTATTTTTCAAGTTTTATGTAGTATCTTATTTCTCTTTTGATACCGTCTGGGGATACTGTTTGTTTTAATAGTTTATTTTTATAAATTTAGTTTTTTATGATTAGCAAGAGTAGGTTAATTTGATTATTGCAGGGTTTTAATTTCCCGAATATTATATCCACTGGAGATAAGGTTAGGTCGGAATTCAGGATCGAATTAAACCAATTAAGAAAATTTTTCATAATTTTTTAGTTTTTTCACACTCGACAAATATGTGAGTGATAGTTTCTACATAATTTTTACAAAATGTACATTTATCATTTTCTTGTATACCTATTTTTTTAGATATTGATTAGTACTACCAGGTATATTGTAACCAGATAAGTTTGGTGTCTTTAGTTATTTTACCAGCTAAAGAATTGATATTTTGCCACAAATCACCTATATTTTCATGAAATGTGATTGATTCCCATTTGATTTCGCTTTTTGTTATTTTTTTGAAGCTGGGCAACAAACAGTTGATAAAAATCTTTTGAAATAACTTTTTTTACCCATGATAGTTTGGATGTGTTTTGGGCTGCCATGGTAGTAGCCGCAGTAACCAATATTTTGATGGTTTTCGAGAAACGTTTTAATAGACTTTAAAATTCCTAAAAATTTGGTAAAAGAGGGATTGAAATTAATTTTTTTGTTGAATTGGGCTAAATTAATTAGATTCCCTTCCCCATCTAAGAAGTATAGATAAATATTATTCCTTTTTCATACCACTCTTTGTAGTAGATAGGATTTCTGGAAATTGTAATTTTGTTATTGTTTTCTGGCTAGCATGGATAAAGTCGTAGAGAGCTTTGAAAACGTCTTTCCAGAATTGGTTAGTAGTTTCATTTATTAGTTTTTTTACAAGTTCACCACCGCACGATGTCATTTTCTCTAGGCTTATAGGCAAGATATCTTTTATAAGTTTTGACCAGTTAGAGTTTTCTGTAAGGAGTTTTTTGTATCCATGACAATTTAAAAAATTTTATGAAACAGTTTACATTTAGCATTCTTAATCCACCGTTTTCATACTCCTGTACTATTAATTTTCTCGAGATTCTATCTGTTTTGCCATTTCAGATATAATTTAAAATCATGGTCTCAATTTGCTTAGTAACTTCCTGGCTTGGAGTAGGTAAACTACTAAAGAGATGTACCAGTTTTGATATTAGGATATTTTTCACTACTG